CCACCTCTAATGGAGACCTGCCAGTGCCTGCTGGTGGTCCTGCATTTTTCTCATAACTGTGTTGCTTGCTCTTTGAGATGATCGTCTCATACTGTCCTCACTCTGAAATCTCCCACCTCCATCCCATCACAATTAACACCTGTTGCTGCTTCAAGAGAGGTTGGTGCTGTCGGCCTGGGGCTCCCTTCTCTTTCCTTCTTCACCCGACCAGCCTCCTAACCAGCCTCCTAAGTGGTTTGTTCCTCCAGGCATGCAGTCTCAACCATAAATCCATCTCAGTGTATCTAGTAGCTCCTGTATTTGAAGACAGAAACTTCCCTTGCCCATGCATATCCCCCAGCCCCTCCCACATTTCTGCTTCTCCAGAGCATAACTTCTTTTTTTGGTTTTGGTTTTGGTTTTTGTTTTTTTGGTAGAGTCTCGCTCTGCTGTCCAGGCTGGAGTGTGGTGGTGCCATCTTGGCTGACTGCAGCCTCCGTCTCTCAGGTTCAAGTGATGCTTCTGCCTCAGCCTCCCAAAGAGCTGGGATTACAGGTGCCCACCACGATGCCCGGCTCATTTTTTGTATTTTTAGTAGAGACAGGGTTTCACCATGTTGGCCAGGCTGGCCTCGAACTCGTGACCTCAGGTATCTGCTTGCCTCGGCCTCCCAAAGTGCTGGAACTCCGAGCGTGAGCCCCTGCGCCTGGCTTGTAGCATAACTCCTGTAGATAGTTGCCTAAGTGTTTTTCCACTTCTCATTCTCTTTCATGTTTCAGCCATTCTTCCTTTCAGCCATCTCCATCAAAATATGTCAAGGTCTCCATGTAAGCTGCTCGTTCCCAGACTCAGGGGACGCGTATTCATTTCCTCTTCCCTCCTCTGCAACGCTGGGCACAGTTGCCTACTTGCTGTTCTTCAGATACCCTCTTCTGTTGGCTTCCATCTCATGCACGGTCCTGGCTTTTCTCTTATTCAGTCTCCTTTGCTGACCCTTGACAGTTTCGGTGCCACACAGGGCCCTGGGCGCACATCTCTTTGGCCCCCTCTCCGTGATGGCAGGCACCGCCCTGTTTACCACTGTATACTTGGGATGGTCTCTCCTGGTAGGATCTGCTGTTTGTGTTGAATGGGTGAAGTAAATAAGTTTTACCAAGCAAAGCAGTAAGAACCTATTCTTTGAAAAAAAACTAAAAATACAGTTGATTCTTGTTATTCGCAGTTCTAGTCTGTAAATCTCTGGGATGCTGGATTAGCGAATCATGAAGTGTTGCTCCCAGGGGAAGGATTGTTAGGTAGCCTCTGGTCGCAGTGTTTGCATCAGCTGATCAAAAGACAACCTCATTTTGTGTGTGCTTCCCTGCCTCCGGACATGCTGACGGAATGCGGATTGTTTGTTCACTAACATTGAACTCGCAGCTTATATAGAACTCAGCCCACACGTATGTTTTCTCTGTGGGGCGCATCACAGGCTGCTTGTGCTTAGGGACACTGGACGACGCTCAGCACTGTGCCGGAGCCAACAGTGAAATCAACAAAAACGCAAAAGTGCAAAAAGCAGACACTCAGTAGCCCTAAATAGACCACGAAAAGGACAGTTGTTTTCAGAATCAACACGAGAAGACAGGACGTTGCCCTGTGTGATCTCAGCCAGGAACATGTGCGTCATGTGACTCAAATCTTTTCCCGAGGCTGGGCGCAGTGACGCACTTTGGAAGGTCAAAGGGGCAGATCAGCTGAGGTCAGGAGTTGAAGACCAGCCTGGCCAACATGGTGAAACCCTGTCTCTACTAAAAATACAAAAATTAGCCAGGCGTGGTGGCGGACGTTTGTAGTCTCAGCTACTCAGGAGGCTGAGGCAGGAGAATGGCATGAACCCGGGAGGCGGAGGTTGCAGTGAGTCGAGATTGCGCCACTGCACTCCAGCCTGGGCGACAGAGTGAGACTCCGTCTCAAAAACAAACAAACAAAAAAAAAAAACAGAAAAAACTTCCCGCTCTGCACATGTCCACAGAGGGCTGTAAACCACTGTGAGTGTTCGTGTGGGGTCACAAATAAACCTTCCCAGGCAGGCGAGTTCACGGATGCAGAGCCTGTGCGTGTGCAGGAGCAGCCCTATTTGGAAGTCAGTTCTTTTTACCACTGATTGGATTTAGGAGGCCAGTAGATTTAAATAAAATTTTACTTAATAAAAAACCAGTTTTGTGTATACCAGGTTTTCCTATGTGTCCCAGCCCTGGAGTTGAAGCCGAGAGTCCAACTCTTCTTTCACCATTCGGGAAATAGGTACCAGGCCTTACAGCTAATTAGAAGAGAGCTGAGACTGGAATGTGATTGTTAAATTTGTGTTCCTGCATGGTCGCCGTTGCACCCAGTACTCGCCAAGGTTGCGGTGCCGCACGCACGCCCAGCGCATGTGTTAGGACGCATGCTGCTGAGCTTCACCAAGAGCACTTCTGCCTCTTGGTGTAGTACTGGGGGTAACAGCATTTCACCACTGAAACTGAATGGCACAGAGATTGAGTTTGTTTGTTTGGTTTTGTTTTTAATGGTGTTTTTAAAACAACACCATTTGGGGGAGTTTGAGAAATATCCAAAATCTGGTCATAAGGTCCATTCCATCCGTTCAGCCAGTGTGGAAGGAGCTCCTCCTCCATGACAGGTGACATTAGACCTGGGGGTGCAGCCGTAAATGGGCCAAACATGGCACCTGTCCTCAGACCATCGGTCCAGCTGGGAACTTTGTCGCTCAGCCATTGCCTAGATTCTCAGTGGTAAGCATGGTGACTGCTAGAGGCGACAGGTACAGGATGCAACTGGGCCAGTGCGTGCAGCCCCAAATACTACCAAGTACTACCTGAGAACAGGGTGCCTGGAGAGTGAGAGGCTGGACAGTGGCGGAGGAAGGGCCTTGTGCCACTGGATTTGCATATCTGGCTGCTGGATTCGAGAAGTGAGGGTGGCAGCCTCAGGACACCAGCCACAATCGTCATTCAGTCCCACCCTCCTTTTGGGGGCAGGGCTGGTATTACAGACAGGGTCTCACTCTTTTGCCTGGGCTGGCGTGCAGGAGCACGATCACAGCTCATTGCAGCCTCAGCCTCCTGGGATCGGGCACTCTTCCTACCTCAGCTAACACAGGCATGCACCACCCCACCCAACTAATTTTTGTATTTTTTGTAGAGATGGGACCTCACTGTGTTGCCCAGGCTGGTGTCGAATTCCTGGCCTCAAGCAGTCCTCCTACCTTGGCCTCCCAAAGTGCGGGGATTACAGGTGTGAAGCACCGCATCTGGCCCCAACCCTCTTTGTCGCCCACCGCCTAGCAAGCAGGGCTGCCATAACCTGGTATCCATGTCGATCTCCTGAGGGAAAGAGAGGACTGGTCGGAGAACCAGGGTCTGATCTTTAGGGAAATTATTTTTACTGCAAATAATTGACATTCCGTGTTATGCACTGTCTCTGAGTTGGGTTGGCCTCGTGTCTGAGTGGTGCTGCGTGCCAGGTGCTAGAGGTGCATCTGCTGACAAAGACTCCTGTGTCCACGCACTGGCATGATCCCTCCTGATTGTGCCTTTCGTTGATAGATCCTGGAAGACGGTGGCCCCTAGTCTGAGATGCTCCTGAGCAGAGAAGCTGCGGACAGAGCCTGTCCTCCCTGGCCCTGCAACCACGCCACCATCTCCCTATTTGTGGCAGACACTTGCATGTGTTCCTTTTGAATGAAGGTCACTTGCTGTTGTCAGAAAGAAGGTTTTATGGCAGCTTTCTGGTAAAAGCAACTGAGAAGACACTGAATGGACGCTGTGAAGAGCTTAGGATGATGCACTTGTGTTTATGGCCTGTTCCATTTGAAGTGGTGTCACGCTGCACGATGGCGTGTGGGGCAGCGAGGGGCTGCGGGTGCGACGGTGGTCCTGTGAGAGGAGCAGGCCATGTTTTTGCTGCAGTTTTCCCATGTTTCATTTAGACACACGAGTACTTGTCACTGTGCTGCCGCTGGCCACAGTATCCAGTTAGTCACATGCCGTGCAAATCTGGAGCCAGGAGCCACAGGCCACAGCATACAGCCTAGGGGCGTAGTAGGCCTACCATCTAGATTTGTGTTTGCACGGCAGAATTGCTTACAGGGTGTTTCTTAGTGTGTGTTTGTTTGTTTTTTTCCCCCCGAGAGGGAGTCTCACTCTGTCGCCCAAGCTGGAGTGCGGTGGCGCGATCTCGGCTAACTGCAAGCTCCGCCTCCCGGGTTCACGCCATTCTCCTGCCTCAGCCTCCCGAGTAGCTGGGACTACAGGCACCCGCCAACATGCCCGGCTAATTTTTTGTATTTTTAGTAGAGATGGGGTTTCGCCATATTAGCCAAGATGGTCTCCCTCTCCTGACCTCTGATCCGCCCGCATCAGCCCCCCTAAGTGCTGGGATTACAGGCGTGAGCCATCACACCCGGCCCCTACAGGGCATTTCTTAGAATGTATGTCAGCGTTTTGTGACACATGAGTGTAAGAGCAACATCTTTTTAATAAGTAAATATGTGTCAGGCCACTTGGGACGTGTGGTTCTTTGGCCAGCCGCGGTATGCGAGCACGTAGGCCAGCGCTCAGCATGTGAGTCTGTGGAACCCAGGGGAAGCAACTGCAGTTTCCTAGTAGTTTGTGTCTTAATGAAGGGAGCCCCTAGACCTTACTCTTTCACTTTACCTGGTAGTTTGGTTCCTGAACTCGTGTGTTTTTAGGTTACACCATTCAAATCCAGCAACAGAACTGATTGAAAGGAACCTTTGTCTTTCGCGTGAATGCTCATGAGGGGCCATCCTTACAGTGGAAACGCTCCTGAGGCTGCAGCCAGTCAAGACCCTCAGACCCCCGGGGCTGTCCCCACCGCATGACCACATGTTCTGCAGGCACCCCCAGCGCTGTGCCCTGCGTGTCACCCAGGCAGGTGTTCGTTTTTGAGCGCAGACTCTACCTGTGGCCATAGCCATGTGGAGATGTTCACGCATGTACTTACCTTTGTGATTTCAGCTGACACGGAAGATGTGTGCATCGTAGAGAGATTGTTCTCCAGCAGCCTAGTGGCCATCGTGAGCCTTAAAGCACCAAGGAAGCTAAAGGTTTGCCACTTTAAGAAGGGAACTGAGATCTGCAACTACAGCTACTCCAACACGATTCTGGCTGTGAAGCTCAACAGGCAGGTGAGCGCAGCCCCACCTGGGTGTGGGCTTGTCTGTTGCTCCCTCCAGCACTCTGGGACAAGCCCACCCAACCGGCATGCCCCTCCATCATTCCCTTGCTGCCTGGCCCCACGTTGCCGGCCACAGATCTTTGCCTACAGCGACCAGCTCTGTTTCCTCACCCACCAGCTTTGCTCAGCCTGTTCCATTCACAACAGATGCCCAGGCCTCTGCCACACTGTTCCCATACAGGCGTCCCCGGCCCCACCCAGAGGGTGGATGTCAGAGTTTCTTTCACTTATTACCTGGTTTTGCTTTTATAAATGTTACTTAAAAACAAAAAATACTGGCCGGGCGCGGTGGCTCAAGCCTGTAATCCCAGCACTTTGGGAGGCTGAGACGGGCGGATCACAAGGTCAGGAGATCAAGACCATCCTGGCTAACACGGTGAAACCCCCTCTCTACTAAAAAAATACAAAAAACTAGCCGGGCGAGGTGGCAGGCGCCTGTAGTCCCAGCTACTCGGGAGGCTGAGGCAGGAGAATGGCGTGAACCCGGGAGGCGGAGCTTGCAGTGAGCTGAGATCTGGCCACTGCACTCCAGCCTGGGCGAAACAGCGAGACTCCGTCTCAAAAAAAAAAAAAAAAAAAAAAAAAAGAAAAAATATTTGGCCAAGCACAGTGGCTCATACCTGTAATCCCAGCACTTTGGGAGACCGAGGTGGGCAGATTGCCTGAGGTCAGGAGTTTGAGACCAGCCTGGCCAACATGATGAAACCCCATCTCTGCTAAAAATACAAAAATTAGCCAGATGTGGTGGCAGGCACCTGTAATCCCAGCTACTCAGGAGTCTAAGGCAGGAGAATTGCTTGAACCCAGGAGTTGGAAGTTGCAATAAGCCGAGGTCATGTCATTGCACTCCAGCTTGGGCAGCAAGAGCGAGACTTTGTCTCAAAAAGAAAAAAAAAGTTTTAGACTTTTTTTTCCTTTTGTAAATTGTTAATTTAACTTTGAATTCAAAATGAAGGATTTATTACTTTATCTCCCCCTAAACTAATAAGACTGGCACGGAGGAAGGACATGGTGGGTGGCACGTGTGCGTGTTTCACGAGGCCGTCTCCCAGCTTGTGCTCACGCCCAGGGTAACAGCGCCACCCAGGGGACCCCTCACAATCTGATTCTGCCCACATTCCCTGCGGGGAAAGCTGATGAGGCTGCTGGCTGTAGAGTGGACACGTTGACAGCCAGTAGCTGCACTCTGAGATACGGTGACTAGGTGAAGTCACAGTAAAGACGCTCTTACCTTATACACTTGAAACTGGGAACTGGTCTGTTAACTGACAGAGTTGGTTAGAATGGGAAATTATAAGGCATAATATCTTCAGCATTTAAAAATTGTAAAGCATACAAATTGTGTTCACATCCAACTAATGTAGAGCTGGGTTCATGCCCATCATCTTTCTTGCATAAATCGTCGCAGCGATGCATTGTCTGCATGTCCACATTCATTTTCTTCCAAATGGAGCAGAAACTTGCAAAATAATCTGAGTGCACAATAAAGTGTTAGACCTTTTAAAACCCCCTTATTTTCATTTTACCTGTGCCGCACTCAGCATCAGTTTTAAAAAGCAAATCTTTCCAAGTCTATTGACAGCACACTTGTCTTAGCTGTAGGTTAGCATTTGCCTAACACTGAACTAAAATGATCTCGTTAGAATTCCCAGTGGAGCTGGGGTGAGTATGAGAGAGAAGTGTACCCAGGCCGGCTCCTTCTTGATTATTGGTAGAAAGCAGCTGTATCCTCGGCACTTCCAACATTGGTCTGCATGGTGTTCTAGAAGGAACTAAGATTGTGAGGCCCAGGCAGGAGTGGATCACCTGAGGTCAGGAGTTCGAGACCAGCCTGGCCAACATGGCGAAACCCCATCTCTACTAAAAATACAAAAATTAGCCAGGCATGGTGGCAGGCACCTGTAATCCCAGCTACTTGGGAGGCTGAGGCAGGAGAGAGAATCACTTGAACCCGGGAGGCAGAGGTTGCAGTGAGCCAAGATCACGCCATTGCACTCCAGCCTGGGTGACACAGTGAGACGCTGACTCCAAAAAAATAAAATACAATAGCAATAGAAGAAACAAGAGTGTCTAGTCCAGGAGTCAGTCAAGTGGAGGTTGGGGCAGATGTTGCACTGGCTGTTGCTTCACATTTGGTTTCGTTTCCTCTCTCGCCTAGAGGCTGATAGTGTGCCTGGAGGAGTCCCTGTACATCCACAACATTCGGGACATGAAGGTGCTGCATACAATCAGGGAGACGCCTCCAAACCCTGCAGGTGAGCTAACTTGTGAGGAAAGAATCCTTTTTCTGATTTTGCCCTTGAAAGATAGCTATAGGTGAGAGAGATTTTTTCTTTTTATAGGTTCCGCAGATGAGACAGATTTTAAAAGTATTGATCCCAAACCAAGCTGCCTGCCTACTGATGCTGGTCATGTGACCACATAAACTCATTGGTTTGATCAACTTTCAAGTTTGAGGTTACTGATCAGTTCAAACCAAAGGCGTTTAATCTCTTTACAATACTGGTATCACCTAAGGTGGGGATTTGGGGTTGCAGAACTTTCTTAACACAGCAAACAAGATTGTATCCAAGCTATTATTTGTTCCTAATGCTCTGTTAAATAAATGCTGAATTATGTCTGACATCCAAGAAGGAGCTCTCAGGTGAAGTTTGCATCTCGTCCTCCGTGTGTCATTTGCAGGCCTGTGTGCACTGTCAATCAACAACGACAACTGCTACTTGGCGTACCCAGGGAGCGCGACCATCGGAGAGGTGCAGGTCTTCGATACCATTAATTTGGTGAGATGCCTTTCCTACTCGAATAGCTCTCTAAAGTGTGGCTTTTTCCTGAAGAGGAGCACTGCGGTGTCCCTGACATCCTGATTTTTTTGGCTCAGCAATACAACCACTGCATTTTTTTCTTTTTTTCTTTTTTTTTTTTTTTGAGACAGGGTCTCGCTCTGTCGCTCAGGCTGGAGTGTGGTGATGCAGTCTGAGTTCGCTGCAGCCTCAACCTCCCGGGCTCAAGTGATCCTCCTGCCTCAGCCTCCCAAGGAGTTACAGTCATGCAACACCACACCCAGCTAATTTTTTATTTTTGTAGAGATGGAGTCTTGCTGGGTTGCCCAGGCTGGCCTCAAACCATCCTCCCACCTTGGCCCCCTAAAGTGCTGGGATTACAGGTGGGTGCCCTGCGCCCAGCCCCGCTACTCTCTGTCAGTAGCAGAGCAGGTCTGGCTCATTCTGCTTCTGGATCTGCTGCAGCGTTCAGACCAGTGCTGAGCTCCTCACCACGGGAATGTTTAAAGGAACATAGAAAACCTTCGGGATAAACTGCTTTGCTTTTTCTAAAGTTGGAGCAGCATTTCCTTGAATGCCCAGCCCCAGAAAATCAAGTGGGTTTGGCATTTGTATGGACTGCAATGGTGTTTTAGGAACAGCTAATTGGCGTTTTCAGACTGCAGACCGAGTGCCAGCCCTGGGGCGTGGCCTGTCACTGCGTGGCGGCCACACTTCATTGGTGTCCCTTTTTCAGAGAGCTGCAAACATGATTCCGGCTCATGACAGTCCTTTAGCGGCATTGGCCTTTGATGCAAGCGGAACTAAACTTGCCACGGCTTCAGAGAAGGTGAGTCTGCTTTTCCCTGGGGGAGTACTGGTGCCCCGGCGTCCACAGACTTTTTCATTTCTGTTCACACAGCCAATTTAGAGGCAAGGTCCTATGCTTACCAGCTTCGGGAGAAGCAAAGACAGCCACCTGCTTGTCAGGCCGTGGGCGTGTGCTGCCCGAGAGTGAGCGGCGCTTGCGGTGTGCCACTGGGACAGGAGAACTGGTCCATGTTTGTAGTAAAAAATTACAGAAATGTCCAGAGACAGAAGTGCCGTGTGTAACCACACTGCTCACCCAGTGTGCTTCTAAATGATAAAACTAACACATAACAGTAAAGAACCCAGACAGTGGTGAAACGTGAAAAAGCAAGGACCGAATTCTATCCAGCCAATCTGAACACATTTCAATGTATTTCCTTTCATTTTCTCTTTAGTCAACAAAATTGGGATCCTACTATGGGTGTAATTTATCCTTTTTCACTCTGCATGACATTTCTCTAAGTTCAAAAACACTTGTAATGGCCGTGCAGTATTCAGTTGTGATTTATGTCCACATCACCCTTTTGGGACTTTACGTTTCTAATATGTTGCTGCCATAGGTAGTAGTGTATTTAAGTCTTGTCTCAATCTTTCATGTGTATTTCTAACTACGAATTTAAGAGATTCCAGTAAGAAGAATGTCTGGCTTTAAAGGAGATGGATGGCCTCTAAATGTCCCTGTGTACCTGTGACCGCGTGGCGAGGCTCCCTCGGCCTCCAGGAGACTGAAGGCTCCTCGTTCTCTTCCTCACTTGAACTGTGCCTCTCTTTTCGTTTTGGTTCCTCTTTTCTTGAAAGTTCCGTCTTCTCTTCTTCTGTCTTGAGGTCGCGTCTGCTCTCCCACCTCCGTTGTCCCCTCTGGATGCCAGTCTGCTCTCCATTGCCCACCGATGACCTTTACTTTGATTTGGATATGATTTTGCTTCTCATTGAAATCCTAAAATAGCCTCCCCTTTCAAGTCATCTCTCCCCTCAAACTATGGACCAGATAAGATACAATAAAAAGTCGGCTCACTTCCTTAGCTTTCCCGCCTGGATCTTTGTTCTTCAGTCTCACACCTGAGTTCTGTAATAATCATGTCACCGCTTATGGGTCACTTCTGGGTCGTGAATTATCCTGGATCTTTTATCTTCATTACCTCCTTTGTTCCCCCTCAGCAAGGTAAATATTTCTCTTTCATAGCAAGGGCTCAGAGAGGTTAAGCAGTGTGCCCGGGGCTGCCCAGTCGGGCAGCAACAGAGGGGTCAGACTCCAAGCCTGACTTTGATTCTGATTAGGCTGGACTGTCCCAATATCACCTTGTCCTTTTCTTTTCCCTTTGAAATGGCCCTGAAATTCTGTTACCCTTTGACTAATCAAAGTCTCACTGTTAAGTTTTTTAGTAGCTCTTACAAAGGCCCAAAAGTACTTGATGGAATTTTAAGGCCCATAAAAATAGAATAATTTTTTTCTGGACTATAAAGAGGAAACTTGATTTCTTTTACATGGAATCCTCTTACCTGTTGAGTGACAGCGGCAAGGCCTTCCTAGCCCTGCTCTGTGCCAGGTGCTGAGGCCCCACTGAAGCCTGTGACTTAATCCTACTATCTTGCAGTCATGTGGCAACAAAACAACTCTTTTTTTTTTTTTTTTTTTTTGAGGCGGAGTCTCACTCTGTCGCCCAGGCTGGAGTGCAGTGGCGCGATCTCGGCTCACTGCAAGCTCCGCCTCCCAGGTTCCCGCCATTCTCCTGCCTCAGCCTCCCGAGTAGCTGGGACTACAGGCGCCCGCCACCTCGCCCGGCTAATTTTTTTGTATTTTTAGTAGAGACGAGGTTTCATTGTGTTAGCCAGGATGGTCTCGATCTCCTGACCTCGCGATCCGCCCGTCTCGGCCTCCCAAAGTGCTGGGATTACAGGCTTGAGCCACCGCGCCCGGCCAACAACTCTTAATTAATGAGTATTGCATGGTAGATGTGCACCAAAAAATTATGTCTCCATCTAAAAGTGTAGGCTGCAGAGGACAAAACCTTTGCCATGGTTATTTTTATATATGGATGCAGAAAATATTTCATTCTCTAATTCTCAATGTTGCAAACTCAGTTTGTGTCCCTGCATCCAGAGAGAACCAACTATCCTCAAGTACCAATTTTTTTTTTTTGAGACAGGTCTTGCTTGCTCTGTCGCCCAGGCTGGAGTACTGTGGCACAATCTCTGCTCTCTGCAACCTCCACTTCCCAGGCTCAAGTGATCCTTCCACCTCAGCCTCCCAAGTAGCCAAGACTACAGGCACCCGCCACCACACCCGGCTGATTTTTGTATTTTTTGTAGAGATGGGGTTTCTCCATGTTGGCCAGGGTGGTTTCTAACTCCTGAGCTCAAGCAATCTACTCACCTCAGCCTCCCAAAGTGCTAGAATTACAGGAGGGAGCCTCTGTGCCTGGCCTGTATCCTGATTTCTAATGGCTGTATACTCTCCCATTGTATAAGTTTACCATAATTTATCTAAACAATTCCTTGGTGTTCTACACTGTAGGTCATCTGCTGCTTTTTTTTTTTTTTTTTTGAAACAGAGTCTTGCTCTGTCACGCAGGCTAGAGTACAGTGTGGTGTGATCTCAGCTCACCACAACCTCCGCCTCCTGGGTTCAAGCCATTCTCCTGCCTCAGCCTCCTAAATAGCTGGGATTACAAGTGCACACCACTACACCCAGCTAATTTTTTGTATTTTGAGTAGATGAGGTTTAACCATGTTAGTCAGGCTGGTCTTGAACTCCTGACCTCGTCATCCACCCACCTTGGCCTCCCAAAGTGCTGGGATTACAGGAGTGAGCCACTGCGCCCAGCCTCCCAAAGTGCTGGGATTACAGGAGTGAGCCACCGCGCCCGGCCTCCCATAGTGCTGGGATTACAGGAGTGAGCCACCACGCCCGGCCGCTTTGTACTATTTATAAACACAGAGATAGTGCAGTGGCGTGATCATGGCTCACTGCAGCCTCCACTCCTGGGACACCAGGAGTGAACCATCAGGCTTGGCTTTTTTTGTTTGTTTTTTGTAGAGATGGGGTCTCGCTATGTTGCCCAGGCTGGTCTTCAACTCCTGGGCTCTAGTGTTTGTTTCTCCTGTCTTGGCCTCCCCAACTGCTGGGATTACAGGCATGAGGTACTGTATTTGGCCTAGATATTCTTTTCTTTACTTTTTTTTTTTTTTTCTTTTGAGACGGAGTCTCTCTGTAGCCCAAGTTGGAGTACATTGGCACAGTCTCAGCTCACTGCAACCTCCACCTCTGGGGCTCAAGCGATTCTCATGCCTCAGCGTCCCAAGTAGCTGGGACTACAGGTGCGTGCCACCACACCCAGCTAATTTTTTTTTTTTTTTTTTTTGAGATGGAGTTTTGCTGTGTCGCCTAGGCTCAATTGCAGTGGTGTGATCTCGGCTCACTGCAACCTCCGCCTCCCGGGTTCAAGCGATTCTCCTGTCTCAGCCTCCTGAGTAGCTCGGATTACAGGCATGCACCCTGACGCCCAGTTAATTTTGTATTTTTAGTAGAGCTCCTGCCTCCTCGTGTCCCTTGGTCTTCCTCACACCACACTTTTCTGTGTTTTTCCTGTGTTGCTGCTTCTGCTCAGTTCCCCTCCTGTGCCTGTTTCTGTCCTGGAGCCGCTCCTCACCCAGCCCCCTTCCTCACCCCTTTGGCCTGTGTGTGTGCCGATCCTGGGGCTAGACATGTAGCCCAGCTTCCTTGAGGTGCCCATATTCATCCTGCCTACTGGGCACCTGTTGGGATTACAGGCATGAGCCACTGCACCCGGCCCACACCCAGCTAATTTTTTTGTATTTTAGTAGAGACAGGGTTTCACCATGTTGCCCAGGGTGGTCTCGAACTCCTGACCTCAGGAGATCTGCCCACCTCGGCCTTCCGTCAGTTTAAATATTCTGAACAGTTTTCATATTTAACAGTTTGAAGGCCGGGCGCGGTGGCTCAAGCCTGTAATCCCAGCACTTTGGGAGGCCGAGACGGGCGGATCATGAGGTCAGGAGATCGAGACCATCCTGGCTAACACAGTGAAACCCCATCTCTACTAAAACAAAACACAAAAAACTAGCCGGGCGAGGTGGCGGGCGCCTGTAGTCCCAGCTACTTGGGAGGCTGAGGCAGGAGAATGGCGTGAACCCGGGAGGCAGAGCTTGCAGTGAGCTGAGATCCGGCCACTGCACTCCAGCCTGGGCGACAGAGCGAGACTCTGTCTCAAAAAACAAACAAACAAAAAAAAAAAAACAGTTTGAACCTCCTAAAATTTGTATAGTAGGGGTGTGAATGTTGAATAATTCTTCCTGCCCTGCAAAGTTGGAATGCTACCCATTTTAAGGCCTTGCTTTCCATCAGTCTATTTCTTTTTGTGCTGATTTAATACCATTATATCACTTGATTAGTATTCTTTTAATATTCAAGCATTGAAAGTCCTGCTCACTATTTTCTTGGTGCTTCTTTATTCCCCCGGATGTTCATATCTGTTTCATTATCTGCACATCTGATATTAACTTACTGGGGGAAGTTGGCATCTTCAGGACACTTCCCATTAAAGCAGGCACATGCTTGTATTCCTAGTTCTTTGTCTTAGTAAGATTTTCTTCATGTGCATCTTCCCATTTCGTGAGTTGGGATTGACTGCTTATAAGGTAGTTGAGATTTCCAGCTAATCGACTCTTGGTCAGTAACTGAATTTAAAGTGGCAGAAAAGACCTTGGTGGGGTCTGAAGCCTCGTCAGACCACAAGGTCTTGCCTGTGTGCCACACACAAGTCCAGGCTTTTATTTATTTTTTATTTATTTATTTATTTATTTTCCAAGACGGAGTCTTGCTCTGTCGCCCAGAGCTGGAGTGCAATGGCGCGATCTCAGCTCACTGCAATCTCCGCCTCCCAGGTGCAAGCAATTCTCCTGCCTCAGCCTCCTGAGTAGCTGGGACTACAGGCATGCGCCACTACTTCCGGCTAATTTTGTATTTTTAGTAGAGACAAAGTTTCTCCACGTTGGTCAGGCTGGTCTCAAACTCCTGACCTCTGGTGATCTGCCCGCCTCAGCCTCCCGAAGTGCTGGAATTACAGGCGTAAGCCACTGCGCCTGGCCCAGGCTTTTATTTTTAATAGTTTAAACTTCAAACGACTCAGAACAATAGAATGATATGCCACTTTTGCCCTCAAGACTGTTAGTGTCGAGGGTAAGTAGTCAATTAAAATAGGTTTAAAGAAAAGATTGAACATTAAGTCAACAATAGAACAGGGAGGTGTTCTATGCTCGGGGCAAAAAGTGTGGAGGTGACGCTCAAGGGGGGCCCTGGGGTACCCCAAACTGCCTGGTGGCCCGGGGCAGAGCTGTCCTGGAGATAGCCCTGTGGCGCATTTGCAGTCTGCTGTGGAAGATCGGAAATTCCTGTTCTAACTCAGCTCCAATTCTTCTTTTCTCTTTTCCTTCCACAGGGGACCGTGATTAGGGTATTTTCCATTCCAGAAGGACAAAAACTCTTTGAGTTTCGGAGAGGAGTGAAGAGGTAAAGTCTATGAATGTCCGGAATGGATTCTGGAGAACTTGTATTTGGATTTCAGTTATATGTTATCTACAAACAAGTAGAAACCCCAGGAGAATTCCACAAGAGCATTTCTATCCCAGCTGGGTCACCGGGTGAGATCTAGGGAGTCGGTCTTGTCACGGGAGTTCACGAGCACTTTCAGAAAAGCAAACTGGGTGTGTGTTTGCGATCCCATCAGCTAGCATGAGAGTTGCGAAGAACTCACATAACCAGCTGGGCCCTCCTGTGCCCTGTAGCTCCCAGCTGGCACTAAGGGACGGGGCAGCGACCTCATGGGAAGCACACCCTCCCCTTTAAAGGCTGCGCTCTGAGAACCTGTTCGCAGCTCTCCAGCTCTGCTTTTACCCTCAGCAAGTGGCGTCGGCCCCTTCTTTTAACCCAGAAGTCGCAGCCTGGAGTTCCCTTGTCTTCCTCCCTCCAGGCTGCAAAGCTTCCCTCATCTGTGCTTAGCATGCCGCTTGTGGCGCCTGCTTTGGAGGCAGGACTCTCCCTCCCTCGTTGGACAGCAGAGCAGGGGAGGCCTCAGGCTCTGGAGCCAGTGCCTCAGATGGGAGCCCTAGGGACCACTTGCAATAGCATGGCGGTGGTCAGCGGGACCCGACCTCAAGTCTCTGGCTCCTCGTCTCAGATCAGTACCTCCCTCCCTGAGGGTGGCCGTTGAAAGAGGGAGGGGCTGTCTTTCCGGGACTCTCCCGCCATCTGGTCCCCCTTCCTCATGGGATCCCCACAGGTGCAGCAGGTGCACCTCGGTATCCCCAAACATCACCGCTCCTCCAGCTCCTGCCTCCTCGTGTCCCTTGGTCCTCCTCACACCACACCTTTCTGTATTTTTCCTGTGTTGCTGCTTCTGCTCAGTTCCCCTCCTGTGCCTGTTTCTGCCCTGGAGCCGCTCCTCACCTAACCCCCTTCCTCACCCCCGTGGTCTGCGTGTGTGCCGATCCTGGGGTAGACGTGTAGCCTGGCTTCCTTGAGGTGCCCGTATTCCTCCTGCCTACTGGGCACCTCAAGCCACCCAGGCCAGTTTGCCCCTGCCCCTCATCCCTCACACCCCCATCCTGGTAAATAGCGCCACTCGCCACCCCCGCCAGCACCCTGGCACCCAAGCCAGAAGGACTGGGCCCTGCAGCCTTCTGCCTGAACAGTGCCTCTAGGGAGCTCCCAGCTGTGGGCCTGCCCTGTGCCCCACTCGCCACACCGCCTGATCCAGGCTTTGCCTGGTTTCTGCTGTTGCCCTGGATTCCCATCAGGCCATTCTTCAGACTCTCACCCAGGCTGTTCTTTGAAAATGTAAATATAATCCAATCACACCCCACCTGACATCTCCCATCACCCCTCTGTCCTGCAGGGTGAGTCCCCAGCTCCCTGCCTTGGTTCACCAGGCCTCCCGGCACCAGCCCTTCCACCCAGCCTGATTCTGTTTCACTGTCCCTGTCCTGGCTCCAGCAGTACCACACTTTCAGATCCTCGGAAGAGCTGATCTCTTTTACCCACCAGGGTCTTGCGTGGGCTGGCGGATCTGGTGGCCTGGCCGGGTTCTGTAACGCTGGGAGTCCAAGTCAGGTGTCACTCTCAAGGAGGCCTTTTTTTGATCCTTGGGTTAAATCCCTTTCTCCAAGATTTCTAGTGCCTTCCACGTGTATTTTTCTCACATTCCTTTGCCTGTAGCAAATGGAATATTTGGGTGACCACCCAAGGGGTTCACCTCGCCCGCTGCCTAGACAGAGCCGATTCATTAAGACGGGAATTGCAGTAGAGAAAGTAATTCATGCAGAGCCGGCTGTGCAGGAGGCTGGAGTTTTATTACTACTCAAATCAGTCTCTCTGAGCATTCGGGGAGCAAAGGTTTTAAGGATAACTTGGGTGGGGAGAAGCCAGTGGGCCAGGAGGGCTGATTGTCAGAGATGAAATCTTAGGGAGTCGGAGCTGTCTTCTTGCACTCGGCAGTTGCCGGGTGGGGGCCACAAGATCAGATGAGCCAGTTGATTGATCTGTGTGGGGCCAGCGGATCCATCAGGTGCAGGGTCTGCAAAATATCGTAAGCAAAGTTCCTCCCAAAGTTAAAACAGCCTATGCCCAGGAATGAACAAGGATAGCTTGGAGATTAGAAGCAAGATGGAGTCAGTGAACAGATCTCTTACCCCGTTTCAGGCATCATTTTTCAAAGGAGGTTTCATTCGCACCTGCCTGACCCCACTCCCATCGCTGGATGCTGCATTAAGGCGGGAACCATTCCTAATTCATACCCATACCTAATTAATACACATGGTCAACACTGATGCCAGGAAAACCCCTTGCTATTAGGGACAGGGCTGAAAGTATCTTGTATTTCTAGTGTTATGAAGAAATTCACATGAATTTACTGGCTTTGGAATGCCAGTTAATTTTTAAGATACACTTGAACCACTTTGCCTGTTGAAAGTTTTGCTCTGTTCTTTTTTTTTTTTTTTGAGACGGAGTCTTGCTCTGTCGCCCAGGCTGGAGTGCAGTGGCATGATCTCGGCTCACTGCAACTCCACCTCCCAGGTTCATGCCATTCTCCTGCCTCAGCCTCCAGAGTAACTGGGGCTATAGGTGCCCGCCACCACGCCCGGCTAATTTTTTTGTATTTTTAGTAGAGACAGGGTTTCACCGTGTTAGCCAGGATGGTCTCGATCTCCTGACCTTGTGATCCACCCGCCTCAGCCTCCCAAAGTGCTGGGATTACAGGCGTGAGCCACCGCACCTGGCCCTTTTTTTTTTCTTTGAGACAGTCTCATTCTGTCGCCCAGGCTGGAGTGCAGTGGTGCGATCTCAGCTCACTGCAACCTCTGCCTCCAAGGTTCAAGCGATTCTTCTGCCTCAGCCTCCTGAGTAACTGGGACTACAGGCACCCACCACCACAGCCAGCTAATTTTTGTAATTTCAGTAGAGACAGGGTTTCACTGTGTTGGCCAGGATGGTCTCGATATCTTGACCTCGTGATCCTTCCACCTCAGCCTCCCAAAGTGCTGGGATTATAGATGTAAGCCACCGTGCCCAGCCCTTTGCTCTGTTGTTTTTTTTTTTTTTTTTTTTTGAGACAGAGTCTTGCTCTATCGCCCAGGCTGGAGCGCAGTGGCCAGATCTCAGCTCACTGCAAGCTCCGCCTCCTGGGTTTATGCCATTCTCCTGCCTCAGCCTCCCGAGTAGCTGGGACTACAGGCGCCCGCCACTTCGCCCGGCTAGTTTTTTGTATTTTTTAGTAGAGACAGCGTTTCACTGTGTTAGCCAGGATGGTCTCGATGTTCTGACCTCGTGATCCGCCCGTCTTGGCCTCCCAAAGTGCTGGGATTACAGGCTTTAGCCACCGCACCCGGCCTGCTCTGTTCTTAAACTTCACCGAGGTTGCCTATTTACCCTCTGGTGTGGAAAGAATGGCTATAACTTAAATTACTGAGTTTCCTTTTACTCACCTTAGGACTATAAATCCATCCTAATTCAGCTAAAAGTGGTTTAGTGAATTCCTATTTCTTTTGTCATCTGGAAGGTTGCAGCTCTGTTAACGAATTGTTCTTAGTATTTCCTTTCGAACATTTTCCTCAAGGAAAATGTTTGAGAAGGTGGTTGGAGGGGAATAAAACTTACCAGCAGGCCCAAGTGTGCCCGTGACAGGAACTCTTCTCCTCCACTTGAGTTGAACCCCTGGGGCAGCTGCTGGCTCCGGTGGCCCGCCCCGACCTGCACATCTCCCCAGGTGTGTGAGCATCTGCTCCCTGGCCTTCAGCATGGATGGCATGTTCCTCTCCGCCTCCAGCAACACGGAGACCGTGCACATCTTCAAACTCGAGACTGTGAAAGAAAAGTGAGTTGCAAATATACGTTCCTTTAAAAATGACGCAAAACCCTTTGTCCCCTCTTGCTGCCGGGATGGGAAGTAAGCACGGGTCCGCTCACCCTCTGACATCATTAACCAGTGAAGACCTTGAAGCTGGCCATGGAACGAGCACCTCCGCATCCAGGCTTGGCAGTGAGGAGGACGGGCCCCAGCAGATGAGCTTCTGCCGCGGGCAGCATGCAGAATAGACAGAGGCCTTGCGTAGGGCATGGAGGGCCCAGGTGGACATCCTCTAGTCAGTGCGGATGGCCCCTCCTCAGGTTCCCCTCACTACGAAAGCGTTCGTGATCAGACAGCCCATGAATGGCTTGTCTCTTACCTGCCCACGAGTAAGCAGAGAGAGACATGGATGGCTTCCACAGTATTTATTATTGCCATGAATATGTAGCGTGACGGGGGTCTTATCTTTTAAGAGGGTCTTACTCTGTTGTCCAGGCTGCAGTGCAGTGGTACAGTCATTACTCATTGTAGCCTCCAGCTGCTGGGCTCAAGCCATCCTCCTGCCTCAGCCTCCTGAGTACCTGGGACTAAGGCATGCACCATGCCTGGCTAATTTTTAAATTTTTTGTAGACACAGAATTTCGCTATGTTGCCCAGGCTGGTCTGGAACTCCTGGGCTCAAGTGATCTGCTTGTGAGCCACCGTGCCCAGCCTCTCTTTAAAAAATTTAAAAAGAACATCCCACTCAGATCAGCATTACAATAACGTACTTTAGATGGTCAGAATAAATTTTGTTATGTATATTTCATCACAATTTTTAAAAAGACAAATGGAACATGCCCCGTCCTCCCCCCCAAAAAAGATGAATAACAACACAAATAGGCTACGGGAAAATAACGTTTTGGGGTCTATACTCAAGGTTTTTGGAGACTTCTGTTACAGAGACCTAGCAGGGGTCATCAGTTAGGCCCTAGACGTCCTCACACCCTTGTAAAGGGGATGTGTGATCACCTGCCACGTCTTGGCTGTGGCCACTCAAAGGCTGCGGCTGCTTCTCCCTGAAGCTGAGCGCCCCTCCTCTGACACCTCCCAGAGGAAGCCCCATGACGCCCCCGGGGCCCTGAGTGTCTGCTTATAACCAACCCTTCTTAAGTTTCCTGTGAAGAATGGAGACTTTTGCTGTTGGCTCCAGAGCTGTGCGTCTGTGTGAGTAGGGGGTGGCCATCCCCCCAGGGAGGGTATAGCTTCATGTGTCTAGTGGCCTTTCCTTCCAGACCCCCAGAGGAGCCCACCACCTGGACCGGGTACTTCGGGAAAGTGCTCATGGCCTCCACCAGCTACCTGCCTTCCCAAGTGACAGAAATGTTCAACCAGGGCAGAGCCTTCGCCACGGTCCGCCTGCCATTCTGCGGCCACAAAAACATCTGCTCGCTAGCCACGTGAGTAGAGCCGGTGCCTGCATCCCCCACCCCGTGTGCCTCAGGCCGAGGGGCCCAGTCCTGGTAGCTTGTGACCCCTTCCGTGTTTCTCCTGAACAGGAGCAGCTCCTTAGAGCCGACACTCCGTCGAGAGTTGTCAGGGATGGCAGGCGCCCTGGCAGGCGCTAGGCTTGCCGCTCTGTGTGGGGTCCATTTCCACACGGTCTCCCGTTCTGTTTTGTGGACAGTCTGCGGTTTTAATGAAAGACGTTAAGTCAAACCTTGTGAGTGTGCCATAGTTAACCCTTTGGGGCCACAGAAACCACACTTGCTGAGTCTCAGGCGTCTGGCCGGCCCCAGAGTCCAGCTTCAGAACACACATGGGGCCTGTGAACGTTCTGGGATCGTCTAAGGTTCTGTGCTGAGTGCAGGAAAGATTGTCATTACATCCAGTGACAGCAGGGCTTTGGGCTTCCATGCGTCTTTAAACATCGTTTTCCAGTTTTGTTATCTGACTAGCGTCCTCGAAAACTTCTCTGACAACGACTACCCATAATAATCCCAGAAGCCACGAAACCAGCTTCGTCCCACTCTCATCTCCTGTGGGCTTCAGGGCCACATAATAAATCCCAGAAGCCACGAAACTGGTTTTGTCCCGCTTTCTTCTCCTGTGGGCTTCAGGGCCCCATAATGATCCCAGAAGCCATGAAACCAGTTTTGCCCCGCTCTCGTCTCCCATGGGCGTCAGAGCTCGGCCACGAGTGCAGCCTTGGCCCTGTGAGCTGAGGTCAGTGGGCACCAGGCGCCTGCAGCTGCTCTTGTGCTCATTCTGCTGGGGTCTCCTCCCTGGCCTGCCAAAAGTGAGGCTGCCGTGTAATGAGACCGTTTTGTGACAGTTGGCTAGAATGTGGCTGCTCTTTGTTCTCCCTAGAATTCAGAAGATCCCGCGGTTGTTGGTGGGTGCCTCCGATGGGTACCTGTACATGTACAACCTGGACCCCCAGGAGGGCGGCGAGTGCGCCCTGATGAAGCAGCACCGGTGAGTCTGCTCCGGCCGCTTCACGGAGCTGCTCCGCGCTTTTGGGGCACCTGGCGTATGTTTGTTTATTTCCTTGCAAACCAGTGACATAAAGGGGCAGATGCCAGCATGGCGGCCCATGCCACGCAGGTCGGGAGCTTTGCTTTCCCAGGTGAAATCGATGCCACTGCAGGACAGGGAGCCCCGAGCCCCGGGCTGTGGCTGGCGGCGTCAGGACTCCCTCAGGAACTGGGCACAGAGACAACGCAGGGGTGGCGGGGGAGCCGCATTTGTTCTTAGCTGGGGGAGAGGCGCGGGGAGGCCAGGCCCTCGTCTGCAGGGTGGAGTTTCGCATTCGGAAAGGGAGGGTGCAGTGTGGTGGCCGCCACAAGTCAGTGCGCGTGGTTGAGAGCCTCTTGTCTCACTGTGAGGTACAGGTTTGTCCTTGGAAAACAGGGAGTTAACAGTTGTTCATCGAGAAGTAATGCATTTTCATTCTGTCTCACACATTTTTTTATGACCAAAAAGTTCCAGCAACAATATAATTATTTATTTTAGAGACAGGGTGTCACCCTCGCCAGGCTGGAGTGCAGTGGTGCATTCACAGCTCACTGCAGCCTTAAGCTCCCGGGTTCAAGGGATTCTTCCACCTCAGCCTCCCTAGTAGGTGGGACTGCAGGCACACAGCACATCCAGCTAATTATTTTTTTGTGCAGGGTCTTGCTAGGTTGTCCAGGCTGGTCTGGAACTCCTAGGCTCAAGTGAGCCTCCTGCCTTGGCCTCCCCAAGTGTTGGGGTAACAGGAGTGAGCCGCTGCACCTAGCCTTTTATTTTTTTTTGTGAAACGGAGTCTCCCGCTGTCACCCAGGCTGGAGTACAGTGGCGCGATCTCGGCTCACTGCAAGCTCCACCCTCCCGGGTTCAAGCGATTGTCCTGCCTTAGCCTCCTGAGTAGCTGGGACCACAGGCTCCTGCCACCGCGCCCAGCTAATTTTTTGTGGTTTTAGTAGAGACGGGGTTTCACTGTGTTAGCCAGGTCTCGATCTCCTGAACTCGTGATCCACCCGCCTTGGCCTCCCAAAGTGCTGGGATTACAGGTGTGAGCCATTGCGCCTGGCCTAGCCTGACTTTTTCTTAAAATAATGAATCCTAGTTATTAGTTATGTTCTTCCATCGTAAAAGTGAAACACTGCCTTGTTAGGTATAACTCCCTCTTTAGACTTTCCATGTAAAACTCTTCATGTAAAAATGTGTACAGATACACAAGTAGATGAAAGTTGCGTGATGAATGCCTGGCATCCTGTTGGTGAGTAGCACGTCGGCTCTGTTGCAGCAAGGCAGCCAGTGTGTGCTGCCCGCGAGGCCGCCCTGTGTGGAGACACTGAGCTGTGTCGCTTTCTCCCCTCCAGGCTGGATGGCAGCCTGGAGACGGCCAATGAGATCTTGGACTCTGCCTCTCACGACTGCCCCTTAGTCACTCAGACATACGGCGCAGCTGCAGCAAAAGGTACTTATGTGCCTTCATCCCCAACGAGACTTGGTAAGGGGCATGACGCAAACCTGGAAGGTAATTAGCCCCACCCACTGCCCCGGAGTGCTCCTGCCTCCTGCTGGCTCCGGAGCTACCCTACCGGCTCCTCATTGGGAAAGTGGGGGACTGGTTCTGAGGACATAGGCGAGGTTGGTAAATGGGTCTGCCAAGGCCTCTCAAGACTGAATTCAGTTTCCTTTCCTTTTTTTTTTTTTTTTTTTTTTTTTTAAGTAGAGATGGGGTCTCCCTATATTGCCCAGGGTGGTCTCAAACAACTCCTGGGCTCAAGTGATTCTCCCACCTCGGCCTCCCAAAGTGCTGGGATTATAGGCCTGAGCCACCGTACCAGGCCCATCTTCTCCGTTTTTGAAGAAAATGTGGTCATCCTAGCTCAGGTGACTCTGGGGGCATGTGACTTGCACCCAGACTGGCCACCTCTCAGCTAAGATACCACCCTGAAAAGTACTGCCAAGGGTTTGGCCTCGGTCCTTCCCTCCCACCTTTTTTTCGTCCTTCAGCAAATCTGCATCAAGTACCGCCTTCGTGCTGGGCCTGTGAAGTGCAGAAGCCGTAGGGGAACGAGGCCAACGGGCTCCCCTCCGGCAGCAGCACTAAGACCCATGCGCGAGATCCTCCAGCCACAGCCTTGGCTGTGTGAGGCACCTTCTTAAAAAAACCAACTTGCACTCCAGCGGGAGAGCCTGTGGTTTTGCACCCACGTGGGGCTGTCCCACTGCTCTCCGCCACTCCCATCCGTGAACCGGCGCTTCCGGTTCGTGAAGCCTGCCCTGAAAGTCTCTTAGTATCGTTATTTTTTCCTGGTGTTATTTTTGAGCTCTGTGTAACCAGCTTGAGGGAGTTTGTGGCCTGTCCATTAGGGAGCCCCTGTTTACTGGGCAGGTGTCATTTTGACATTTATGAATGTCAGAGAACAAATGACTTCATCTCAAGCTGCCAAAGGCCGCAAAGATTTCATTAGAAAGCAATCAGAATTCAGAACATCTTAATACAGGCGGCAGTTTAAAAACATACACCAGTGTTTCCAAAACACAGTCCTCAGTTTGTGTCATGGGGTCTGTGGTGTGTCCCCAGCCTTTGAAGGGTGACTTCATCGTCTCTTTGCAGCCTACACAGACGACCTGGGTGCTGTGGGTGGCGCCTGCCTGGAGGACGAGGCCAGTGCCCTGCGCCTGGATGAGGACAGCGAGCACCCGCCCATGATTCTTCGGACTGACTGAACTTGACCTGTGACCTCTGACCCGGGGAGCAGAGAACACTGGCTTCACAGAGGACTTTGTGCATTGCTGCTATGAACTTTGACCTGAGTCGGGGGAGAGGATGGCAGAGACTTTATTTAAAAAAAAAAAAAAAAAAAAGATTGTAATGGTAGTCTAACTCCATAACGCTGAGGACATACATCGTTTTCACTTCAGTGGCTTTTAAATCCTGCTTATGAATTTTAGCTTTTTGTTTGTTTGTTTTCTCTTTTTGCCAAAATTAACTGTTTGGTGAAGCCCGCAAAACCTCCTCGCTTTGCATGCATGAACGTGCCAAGCCAGCATAGGGGAGCTGGAAGCCACTTTCCAGCCACCTGCCGTTGGGTTTTTTAATATCTGTACATAATGCTGAGTGCATAAGGAAGCCGTGGCGTTGTGCACAGTGGGTCTGGTTGTCAAGGCCAGTTCTGCAGTGACAGGCCCAGGGGCTGCCCACCAGGTGTGCTGGGCGGACTTCGGCTGGGGCAGGAGCCCTCTCTCCCTGGGGCCCCACCTGGACCATTTTCCCTCCGTTTTATTTTGTTAATTAAATTCTTTCCAAATTGGATCACTCTGGGATTTCTTCCATGGTGGACTTTTGTTTCTGATCTTGTTTTCCATGTGAATATTGGAGGAGAGCGAGGTTCTTTCTGATACTAAAAACCTTTCTTTCAGGCAGCAAATGAACTTAAAAGGTTGCCTGGACTCCCTGGAGCAAAGGAAAGCGATTTTGTTTGTATAATTAAATGATCTGTTCTTCTACTTTACTCTTCCTGTTGAAAAACTGTGTGGTTTTTTTTGTTTTTTTTTTTTTTTTAAGGAAAGTTTGTAGCTACTCCTATGCCCAGGAAAGCACAGAATTCAAGTGTGGTGGCCGTCCGAGCTGTCCTTTCTCTGGCCCTGCTGTCTGCAGGGGCTTCCTACCTGTGTGAGAGGTCGTAGCGGGAGACAGCGACAGAGAGAAGGCGGCTGGGCCACGTCCTTCACAGGGCGACATGTGCCTTTCTATTTTCATCTTAGAAAATTTCCTCAGCAAACCGATGAGAGATTGTGGTTGCAAGCTTCAGTATTTGCCTCACTTCCCTTTTCCTATTTACGGAATTAAAACAACCTCAAGTACCTCAGACTCTGCATTCCAAACCAAGACACCTAGCAGCCAAAGTGTTGAGGGCATTTAAGTGGAGTTAATGGCAGGAGAGATGGTTTTAGAGTCTTTGGAGTGGTGTAAGTTACGGATAGAAGGGAAAAGGCAAAAACTGTATTTACCCTGCCTTTGCAGGCTCAGGTTTTTGAAGCGAGGAAGGCTGGGACGCCTGTTTCCAGATGGTTGTCATGGTCACACTGTGCGAAGAGCTGGAGGGGAGTTGCCACCTCCGCTGAGCGGCTGCAGTGAAATGCCCCAGTGTTCCTGGGTTGGCTTTACGGCAAACTGCTAAATGCAGGGGACGCTGGAGTCGGACTCAACTACACCGGCTTCCTCACAGCCGCAGGTGTGCGGCACACAGCACATCTGCATTAGGCAGAGGTGCAGGTGGGCTGATTGAACTTTTCCTTCAAACCCTGCGTGTCTGTCCTGGACCTTTGATGAAATGGGATCCCGGTCACGCAGGCTGAGGCGGTGGGGACCACTGAGGCCAGAGCGGGCTATGCTTGAGCAGGGATGAGAAGGGCCGCGGCAGCACGCAGCCTTGACCCACGCCCGCAGCTTGTGGTGCAAGGCCAGAGGGCTCTCTAGAACCTGAGCGTGCACTCCATCTCCTGGGAGGCACGTTTGGCTAGAGTGTGTTCGTGGGGGAAAAAGAGTGCACAAGAGATACGGAACCCTGAGCTAGGGTTCCCCATCACCAAAGAGAGCTGCATTTCCAGTTCTGTGTTAAAGTGCCGTTGGTTCTGGTGCCTGCCTGTCGTGAGGATTTGGAGACTGGAATCTCCTTTGCCAGGTCCCTTTTGTCTGTCTTTGGGATTGGTAGTACTAGAAGATGCGGGGAATTCTCTTCCTCGCGCAGCCTCGGCTTCCCACACTGTAAGATGAGGCAGTTGCAGAGGAGGCCTCGGATGTCCTGTGACCATCGGCCCACACTCCCCCTCGGGTGGCCCAGGCAGGGCTGGCTGGGTGCTTTCCATGCAGACCACAGGAAGCCCTGTGCTTGCCTGGGTCAGAGCTAAGCCGTGCGCTCTAAAGAAGGGAGGGGGACTGCAGATTCTTGGTCGAGAAGAATGAAGAGGATGTCTGTGTTTGCTGAGCAGCCATTGTGGAGGGTTACCCGCCTCCACTTTGCTGTTGCCCGTTTCACTCCCACCAGCTCCTCTTCCTCTGCTGGAACCCATGAGTCCCAGCCTCACTGGCGGCCTCAGACGTGCTTGGGAGTGACGGGGACAGAGGCCGCTGAGATGCCCTTTAGAACTCACTGCTGCGCCAGAGACCCAGATGGAGAGGGACCCTGAACCAAACAGAACGTGTACTAATTTGCCGAACTCCAAACTGTACACTCATATTCATTTTTAAATTATATTTTTCCAGACTTCAAAAAGGACAATGAGGGTGGGGGATAGGAAACAAAACCTGTAAACGTTGTGAATGGGCTCAGTGGACTCTGGGACCAAACCTGTAATCTCCAAAACAGTGGGACCAAGAGCTGCATAGAACCTGGAGTCAAAAAGAACTGCTTCAGTCCCCGCTGTACCGCCTGCCTAGCTGTGGGAGCGGGCAGGGTGCCTGGGAGCCCACATTTTCTGGACTGTTCGCGGGACTCATCCCTACCTCACAGGGCTGTTGTGAGGTGTTATGTGACTGCGTGTCCTGCAAATGCCCAACTCAGTGCCCAGCCGGCGGTGGGCACCCAATAAACGCTACAACATAAATGTGTCTTCTGCAATTAAACACGATTTTTATTCGGTTCTGGTGTTTGAATAAAGAGCCAGGAGGGAGGGAGGTGACAATACGGGTAAGAAGTGTAATTCAGAGGCTGGGCATGGTGGCTCACACATCTAATCCCAGTACTTTGGGAGGCCAAGGTGGGCGGATCACTTGAGGTCGGGAGTTCGAGACCATCCTGGCCAACATGGTGAAACCCCGTTTCTACTAAAAATACAAAAATTAGCTGGGGGTGGTGGCGCATGCCTGTAATCCCAGCTACTCGGGAGGCTGAAGCAGGAGAATCACTTGAACCTGGGAGGCAGAGGTTGCCATGAGCTGAGATTGCATCACTGCACTGCAGCCTGGAGGACAGAGCAAGACTCTGTCTGAAAAAAAAAGTGTAATTCACATGGAGATTACACATGGGTCTCTTTCATCCCTGCCTTTTCTCTTAACACCAAGCTTAACAGGCAGGTGGTGCAAGCTGATCTGGGAGGTGGCGGGCACCCTGGAACAGCAGGCCCTGCCCCTGTCAGGAGACCCAGGAGCTCCATGGCTGCCGCTCCCTGCCACAGAGAGAATTGGGTGACTCTTCCCACGCACGGTTTCATTTGGAGAGGACAGTCTTCCTGCCTCCACAGCCAGCAGCAGGTCCCACGTGTAAAAGGCCGGGAGTGCTTTGGCCACAGCTTAGCCAAGGAAATGGGACGAGGGGTGGCAGAAAACACATTCCTGACTCATCCCTGTTGCTCATCCGGTTTTTCTGGTTTAGTTTTTCATTTTTGGGTTTTTGTTTTTTTGAGACGGAGTCTTGTTCTGTCGCCCAGGCTGGAGTGCAGTGGCACAATCTCAGCTCACTGCAACTTGCATCTCCTGGGTTCAAGCAATTCTCCCTCAGCCTTTTAAGCACCTGGGACTACAGGCATGCACCACCACGTCTGGCTAATTTTTGTATTTTTAGTAGAGACCGGATTTCACCATGTTGTCCAGGCTGGTCTCAAACTCCTGACCTCAAGTGATCCACCCAACTCGGCCTCCCAAAGTGCTGGGATTACAGCCGTGATCCACCTCGCCTGGCTGCTCTTGGTTTTCATAACCACATTGGCAAAGGGTGAGGATGGGCCAGGCTTCCTGTTTCGTGTGTCCCCTGCCCTACATCTTTGTATACCAGACCTTTGCATGCAGGGAATGACCGAGTCACTTGTTTGAAATGTACGTGAGGTTGCTCATGCCTGTAATCCCAACAATTTGGGAGGCAGAAGCGGGCAGATCACCTGAGGTCAGGCGTTCGAGACCAGCCTGACCAACATGGTGAAACCCCGTCTCTACTAAAAATACAAAAATTAGCTGGGTGTGGTGGCGCATGCCTGTAGTCCCAGATACTCAGGAGGCTGAGGCAGGAGAATCGCTTGAATCCAGGAGGCGGAGTTTGCAGTGAACGGAGATCATTCCACTGCACTCTAGCCTGGGGGACAGAGCATGGCTCTGTCTCAAAAAAAAAAAAAAAAA